TCCTCCAGTGTCTCCTGAAACCTTCTGTATAAAGTCAAGACTTCTTACCGTGGCACACAAGGTCTATACAGCTCTTTGTTCTGCAGGCTTGTTTCTCCACACTTCCACCCTACACCCTGGCTCAAGCCAGACGCAACCACAGTCAGGCGCTGCATAACGACATTTCCGTCGATGACAGGCCACATATATGATGGCGGTTCCACAAGATTATAACTCCACATTTTTCATATTTTTACTGTACCTTTTCTGTGTTTAGATATGTTTAGATACACAACAAATTACCATTGTGTTACAGCTGCCTACAGTATTCAGTACAGTAACGTGCTGTACAGGTTTGTAGCCTAGCAGCAATAGACCCCAAGTGTGTAGTAGGATATTAGGTTTGTGTGAATACACTCTGTGATGTTCACACAATGACAAAATCACTTAACACATTTCTTAGAATGAATCTTTGTCATTTAGCAAGTTTTCACTTAAAACCATGCTTCCTTCTCCTCTGGCCCAAGGTGGTGCTCTCTCTGCCTGGGCTGTCTTCACCTCACTATGAATGCTTAAGTTCTTGGGTTGTGTATCAGCCCCAGCAGGAAGCCTTACTTCATCTGGACTGAGTGGCATGTGGCCCTTTGTGCTCCCACAGCGTGGTCGCCTATGCCTACTGCAGACAACACTGTCTTTGCCCATCTGCATTTCTTTCCTCTCCATTCTGAAGGAAAGAGATTGGCTTTTGTTCAGTAGTGTGTCCCTATTGGCTGATACAGAACCCAGCACCCAGTAGATGTCAGTTAGTTAAATCTAAGCATGAGCAAATTTGTGCAAAATATTCCTTTAAAATATCTATTGAGAGCCAAACCCACCTAAGACACTGAGAGGACAGAGACATGTTCAAACCAAATTATTAGTTTCATTAGTTTGCTAGGGTTGCCAGTACCACACACTGGATGGCTTCAACAAGAGCAGTTTATTCCCTCATAAGGAGGCTAGAAGTCCAAAGTCAAGGTGATGGGAGGGTTTCTTCTGAGGCCTTGCAATGGTCTGAATGTTTGTCCTCCAGAATTCATGTGTTGAAACATAATCTCTGCCGTGGTAGTAAGAGGGTGGGGCCTTTGGGGAAGTGATGAAGTTATGATGACATCATCTCCATGAATGGACTATTGCCTCCCAAAGGGCTGGAAGGAACTAGCTTAGGCCTTTCCCTTTGCTTTTCTGTGTTTTTGCCATGGGAGGACACAGTGTTCCGTTTTGCCTTTCTGTCCCTTCTGCCATGTGAGGATGCCTAGATGGTGCCGTCTAATGAGCAGTGGATGTTCACCAACACTGACATTGCGAGTGCCTTGATCTTGAACTTTCCAACGTCCGGAGCTGTGAACAAGTAAATTTCTGTATAAATTGCCCAGTCTCAGCTATTTTGTTATAGCAGCACAGACAGACTAAGATGGGCATCTCCCCTTGGCTGGTAGATGGTCATCTTCTTATAAGAACACCAGTCATATCGGATTGGCACCCACTCTAATGACCTCATTTTAACTTAACCTCTGTGAAGACTCTGTCTCTAAATATAGTCACATTCTGAGATACTGGGCGTTAGAACTTCAACGTATGAAGTGGACACAGAATTCAGTCTCTGATTATCAATCATGAGCACTGGCTTCACTGGTATTTACCACCTTTGTGTATCCCTAGACTGGACGTAGACTGCTACATTGCTGCACTTCTCCGGAAGGTTATTAGCCATAAAGATTCTGTAATAAGGTACATTTTTGTCAAGAAAGGGGCGTTTTGGAGTTTGTTGTTTTCAGAGGTTGGAGTAGGCTATTATATTGGGAATTCTGCAGCCCCAAGAATAAAGTCCTGGAGGACTAACATTATGAAATTACTGCAGAATTCATTGCTGAGGCTGGACACCATGGTTTAAATCTCTAATCTCAGCACTTTGGGAAGCTTAGGTGGGAGGATCCCTTGAGCCGAGGCCTGGGTGACAGAGCAAAACCCGGTCTCTAAAACCAAAAATGTTTTAAAGAATTCACTGTGAACATTACTGTCTTCACTGGAAATTCCTATTCTGAAATGGCCAGTACTTGGTTGACCCAGGAAATTCAGTGGTCACGTGTCCAGTTCCTACCCAGGAGATGAAAACATTGGATTGGAAGGTTTTCTTCCTGTCTTCACTGCTCACTGGACTTTCAGGACTGGAAGTGTTCTGTGGATCACGATGAAGTCTTGCTGTCTTTTAGCTTCAGATTGGACACAGAGGTTTTAGGCTGCCACGTCTTAAAGGGGCACTAAAGGGTCCACCTGGGCTCAGCCTTGATCACTGCCTGTACGCAATTGAAATCGCTGCCCACAGAAGTCAGTGAGGTTGTAGGGAAGAGGCTGTGTAAATGACTCTGACTGTTGCTATAACAACAGTACCTTGGTCTAATTTCTTTTGAAAAATGAATTTCAGCTGGTGGGATGAAGCCGAGCAGCTTCACCCCACAGATGAAAGCTCTGCCGCCAGGCGCCAGAGCTCTGCTGTGCGGACTGAATGTGTGGCGTGTACCTCCACCTGGCTGAACATTTTCAGAACGGGTCAAATGACTCCCATGTTTGCCTGTATATGAGAACGTGCCTGTCTGTCTGTGGGTATCTTCACCCACGGGGGATTCATCCTGGAGAGAAAAATTCTCTCCTCCTGCCTTGGCTTCTGTTTATTAACAAAGTTACTCAAAAGACATGCAAATAATGACAGCTCCGTAATTGGTCAAAGAAGGCAAGTCCCTAAGCCCCTTCAGGTTTGGAGTAAAAATCTGTGGTGAAATGGAGAATGGTGGCCTGGGAGTCAGATGCTGTCTAGAAACAAGAATTATGTCCTGTTTGCACGCTTACTGAGACGTGTGTGTGTGTGTTCCCAGGGGAAGGAGAGAGGGAGAGAATGAGAGAAACTGGAAATTCTCTTCCAGGAGGTAGCTCTTAGCTACCTGGTAGTACTGCTTTATGCAAACTGCAACTCACAAGAAAGGAAGAGCAATGTCTGGCCTCTTTGAGGGAAACAGGAGGCTTTTTATAGAGTAAGAGATCTTATTTCAATACTTTTGTTTTCCAAAGGGAGATAAACATGTGCTGGGATTTTATTCAAAAGCAGTGTCAAGTCTGGGCACCCTGGCTGTTTAGCTGGTGCACCACTTCAGTGCTGTTGAGGAAAACAGTCTTCTGGAAGGGCTGAAAACAAAAATGAGAATTTCTTATTGAAAAGAAAGGACATTTTAAGTAAACAATGAAATAAAAAGATGGTTGAATCTTTCCCAAGGGAGAGAAAGTACTCAGCCTCCCTGACATATTGCTCCTTCCCGCCTCCCTCCTCCCAGAAAATAAACAAATCGAAACCTCATGCTTAGTTCTAACATGCCTATTCTTTGGTCTGTGTTGTTGGTGTAAGTCTCCAGCTGTGAATGATGCAGATAAGATCTGATCTTTTCATTTGCTGTCCTCCTCCCTTATGGGGAGGAAAGCCTTCCCTTCTTCCTCACTAGCCTCCTTTACCAGCATTTCTTTACAGCTCTAAATAAAATCCCATTAGGAATTTCAGATTGGAAGGTAAGGTCATGTATACAAGCATGTTTGAATAGAAAATGTATTCATGACTTCTAGTAGGAGATTATCAGGAGATATTCCTAAGGATATTGCTTCTTGTCCTTAAAAATAAATGTAATCTAATATGTGTGTGTATTTATGTATATGAAACAACAGAGCAGCACAGGGTTCAGATTGTGGAATGCTGATGGCAACTACCAGTCTCAGTGGAGCTTTCCCTACAGAAAGCTACTGAGTGAAGGAAGCTACCACTGGGATGCACGCATTTGCTCTCTTCTGAAGTTTTCAGGGCCGCAGCCATTATCACTTCTCAAACACATGCTAAATTTGCAGAGTGACATCTTTCCTTGTAGAGGAAGCACAAGGCTTTTCTGTGAATCAGCCAGATCTGACTCAAAGACACGAACACATCCGCTTTAGAGCATCATGACACAGGTGTCTAAAACACTTTCCCAGAATTTCTAAGCAGGTTTGCTGCAGTTTGATTGAGACAGAAGTCATCAGATGCGAAATAGCAGATTAGGTGAGAGCATACATTTGAGAGGCAGGCACCACTGAGTAGGGCTGTGCTATGTGCCCTAGGACAAACTACTTGTCCTCTCTGAACCCATTCCTGTCAATTAGGTTATTGTGAGGATTAATCAAGGTAAGATATGTAAAGCACTTAGCTCAATGCCTGGCTGGTTAGCTCTCAATTAGAATATTGTATGACAATAATATATTGAAACATTTAGTAAGCAGTGAGTCAACTTCTCTGATAAAAACTTAGAAGTTTAGAGCATTCTACTGAAAACTATGTTAGATTTGAAAATCATATGGCCTTAGCATTTGCAAATATAACAGTCTTGCTTTTAATGAGTAGTTGATAATTTTGTTAACACCAGTTTAAACTGCATGTATAGAGTTTGTGAAAAACTTTGTAACTTCAGATACAAAGACTATACAGGATTCATGTGACTTGTGATGAAAATATAATTTATTCATTCCATTGGGAGAAAGCCAGGAGCCTGTACAAACATTTATGTATTTGGAAATTTGGAGATTTGAGGGGATCTTGGAACTTAGAGTTTCTAAATGTGGAGGACTTCATCAGCCACTGCTCCTGATGTTTTATGATCCATTCCCAAGATATTGTTGTGCATTCAGTTGGTACTTATTATATGTTTAAGCCTAATTAAAGGATAAAAACATACCTAAAAGTTCAGCCACACCCCCAAAAAAGATTTAAAATGTTTTTAAAGAGTAAGTAAATCAGGATGTTGCTTTAGCACTTACAGCTGGAATTGGATGGGCATTCATGTTCCAAACATTGAAAAGAGGCACCATCAGCCTTATGTACTTTCAAGACTTTTTGGGAATAGAGTTTTAAATGTGACCCATAGTAGAAAGAAAAAAGATCATGGTCATTTCTAAAAATAACCTCAAAGTACCTCAAAATGTTTTGAGTGGTTCTGTCCCCCTGGGCTGGGGGGTCCGCGGTGCCCCCGTAGTCCCTTGGGGCTCTGCAGCTGTTATTTCACATGCCCACTAAGAGGGTGAGGCCCCTTTAAAGAGGATCCTTTTCTTCCTGGAGGATTTCAGAATGGAGATTTTTAACTGCTTAGGCTGACATCCCCTCCAGAGATCCAGCATTTCCCACTGACCAGGTGCAGGGAAGCTGCATCATCTGGGATGGTCGAAAGCGGAGGTTTCAAACACTTGGCTCTTATGGCAATATTATATGTGATATGTACAGATTATATACATAATTTTAAAACTCATATTCAAATTCATTTACTCATAGAGAATAAAGTTGTTTTCTCTCTAAGTGATGTTAGGAGTCTATAAGGTTGCCAAGGGAGGCTTCGGGAGTTGTAATAAGATTTTTCTTTTTCTTTTCCTGTTAGTCTGCGCTGCACACAGATCTCTCTAAAACAAATGTATCCAACTTTTTTCAACGTATGTTTGGCATGTGGTCACTTTCTGGCATGGGCTTCGCTCTGGGGAGTGAGCTGAGCCTTCAGCACCTGGCGCAGAGCCCAGCACACAGACACAGAGCACTCCTCAGTTCCCTGAATGAAAATGAAAGGAAGTATACAGTGTGGAGGGGGAAATGGTCAGGGATATTACTGTGCTCAGAGAAACCTAAAATGTTTTAAAAATATACATTTTTATGAAAAATATTCTAGAAATCCAGCAAGCTTCTGCAGAATTCAGAATCCTCTGAGGTTTCAAAAAGCACCAATTAGAGCACTGTTTCTTGGTTCTGTTTATGAGAGCCCCCGTCGTATCACCAGTCAACTCAGGAACATTTTGTAGTGACATTGGGTTTGTATGTGTATGCATACTTAAAAAAATCACACCATCAATCTCACAGTGTCGGAATCCAACAGAATTATCAATCTAGATCAAAATTTCTAAAAGCTGGGGAATCCTCAACCAGCAGCCCCAGAAGAATCAGGTTTTTATTCAGTTTCTTTAGATACCTGTGCCCCCACCTTGTGTCCCAATCTGGGGCTACTTAATTAGAAACTATGAAGGTGGGACCAAGAAATCTAAATTTTTAACAGCTTCTCAGGTCACTAGTTACATTAAAGTTGGAAAATTACTAAAGAAAAGCAAACCTCGAAATAACTCTCGAGATCCTTTCTAAGGGCACTTAAATCTAGAAGACAGTTCTGGAAATGTTTTGCGCGCTCTTCCTATTCTACTAATTAAAATATCTAACACATGAGTATTCTGGGTCATTCATTAAATAAGCAAGTCAAATTCATCCATGTGTTCATAGGCTTATTACCTGCTGGTAGAATGGAAAGAGAATAAGCATGTGATAATTGATTCCAGTGAATCATCTTCTAGTTTGACCAGAACAGATCAAAATGACCAAAATGTTCTCTTTGAGCCTCTAAATTAGTTATAGCATCTGCAAGCTAAGACTGTCTCTTATCTTCAAGCCTTGGGAAAGAGTTGTATCTCTACCAGCTAGTGAAGAAAGCTCACTCACACTTTTGGTTGAAGAGGGTTAAGCTATAGTGGGTGAGAACCACTTGAAGCCTTTGTATGGAAATTTAAAATTCAAGCCTGAAAATAAGCAGCGTTTGGGGTTTACATACATGTGAAAACATGTGCCATGGTAATGTCGTTTAAAGTCTCTGGATTTCAACTTCAGTTTTCTTTTCCACAAATCACTTCATATGTTCTGTAGTGGTTCTCATCAGGGATTCCCTGGACCCTTAGAGTCCTCAAAAATATTAAGAAGGAGATGGTCCATTTTCAGTATTTTAAACTAACCAAAAGAAATTGTACGTTTATTCTGAGAACACTATGCAGTCCAATGTTTTCAAGAGCCTGCTTTGGGGATCAATTACACCAACTCATTGTGGTTATCTGAGAGCTCTTTTTAGCATTCATTCATTCATCCATGAAGGAAAATAGTTATACTGTGATATGAATTAGAATGTCATGGAGGGTCTCTTAACCAACATCAGGAGTTGTAGGAAATGGCTGTCAAGAGAGACTACAGAGTAGGTAATGTCTAAACTGAATTGTAAAGGACACATAGAATTGGTCAGGTGAAAAAGCTGGATACGTGTAAAATATGCAGAGGCTCAGAAAGAGAGAAAACAATTGTGGTATGTCCTGGGCACTGCAAATAATTAAGTATAGCTGAGAGTTTGGAGTTGAGTGGGGTTGTGGAGTAAGTGGGGGAAGATTAGAGGTAATGGCTAAGCCTGGAGAGTTTAGCTGGGATGAGGATTCAGTTGAAGGGCCTGTGCGCCAGACCTGAATGATGCTGAAGACGGTGGACAGCTTTAGAAAAGCTTAAAGTGAAGGACGGGCGTGATCATATTCACAATGTATAGAGAAAACCACAGCCACGATGCAGAGAATGGGCTGGAGGTGGTGAGACTGACGCTGGTCAGGAGCTGCTACAGAAATTCATGAGAGAAATGAGACACTGAACGAGGTAGTGGCATTGGTGGCGGAAGATGAGACTAAAATTCATAGAATGGATAGTTCTTGAGGTTTAATTGGGTATGGGTGGCGGGGAAAGGCTGGAACAAAGGAAGATCCCTGAAAGCACAGTCTGAGAAAGCATATCACAGGTGGCATCAGAAACCCATGCCTTTGATGGGGGCATGACTGTGTTTCGTCCAGTCCTGGATGAGGGTGCAGTATGCCTTATGAAGGAGTCAGACCTGAGTTTGAATTTGAATCTGGATTTAGCCATCTTCTGCCCAGCCCCCTGCGTTCTGTAATTTCAGACACACTACTTAACCCACGATGCCTCTGCAAGATGGTTGTAATAAAACCTATCTTTTAGAATCACTGGGAGCAGAGAGAAGGAATATGGTGGTTTACTGGAGTTGGACATTGGACATTGAATGTCTTCCATCTTAGAGTCTTCATTATTAATAGTAGCATCACTATCTTTATTCCCAAGCTCTGTGATCCTGCCCAACTTCATGCAAAATCAGGGACAGGACAGTAAGAGTTTCTTTGACTTGCCAGCACCGCTAAAAAGTCTAAAACCCAGCACCTCTAAAAAGAATAAAAGACCTCTTTGTCATGGACACTGTGGCCCATGGAACACCTCAGGAATCTGCTAGTATTGGGGGCCCCTATGTCAGCAGAGGCCTGGTAATCTTAGCCGTGCTCCTCCTTGCTGTGGGTGTCATGCACCCTCGCCCACCACACCCCCTCCAAAACACTGCCCCTTTCGCTATAGAACCATCTGGCCAGCACATGGCCTGCCCCACATGTTTGTGGTGAGGATAAAATGTGATCCTGTGTGAAAGTTCTTTGTAATTCCAAAGGGCACAGCTATTCTTATTACTACTGGTTTGGACATAATGCACAACCCTCCCACTCCCCATTCTGTCTCTCTCTGCCTCTCAGTTTCACTGTCTGTCTTTCTCTCTCTCTCTCTCTCTCTCTCTCTCACTCTCTCACACACACACACACACACACACACCAGTTTCACAGAAACACAAGCCATCAAGCCACACTGTAAATGAGGGACTTGCACTGGAGCCATTATGGAAGAGGAATTGTTTCCTTCAGAGTAATTGACACATGATAGCAGCCCATATTGTCGTACGCATTGGATGAACAGCATACTTCAGCTCCTGGCACCACAGCTTCACCTAATGGGAGAAAACATTTATGTGTAATAATAGTAATACAAGAGAGCAAGGAGGCTGATGCTCAGGAAAGAGTTTCTGTGATTCTTCCACGAGGGTGCAGTCATACTAAGAGGCTTCGGGCTTTTGAGGCAGAAGGGCCAGGGACTTCCTAAGATAAGGCTATGTGGGATGAGACACTGCCCTGAGTCCTGAGGAGAGGAGGGTCACAGGAACATTTCTCTGTGCACAGCCAGGCATTCCCATGTTCTCTGAGCAGGGAGCTTGTGAATCAGCCTTCTCAGCCACATAGCTGGTTCTGTGTCTCCCTCTCCGCCTCCCTCTGTCTCCCATGAGAAACATAAAGAGAATTAGACTCCCAGACCACCTTTCCATATAGCAAAGGATGATGAGGCAGACAGAAGGGATGCTAAGATTGCTCTGCTATTTTGGACTTAACAAAACATAAAAATCACAGTGCAGCATCTTCAATAATGTCTATCTTATATTCCAAACTGCAGATACATGAAATATATAAATCAAGATTTGGGTTAAAGGGGCTTGCGGTGGAGAACTTTAGGCCCTGGAGGAAAGGGAACACTTGGAGGCTCCAATCAGGTGGCATGTTGAAAATGATTCGAACCTCAACGATCTAGCCTCTGCTCTTCTACAATCTAGGACATGAATGCATTAGCACTTGGACTTGGACTTGAATTGCAAATTTAATTTTTGTTGTTCATATTTAAAAAGCTACACCAGATGCTTGGAAAACATTAGGGTTTTGCTGGCTAGAGAACAGAAATATTCTACCTATTTGTGTTTTGAAGATCCAGTAAGCATTCCTTCTCAGCTGCAGTTGTAACTATTTGTATCACTGAATTTTGAAAATGGTAAAGCTAAGCCTTCGTAGGTGTTTACTGGTATCAGGTGTGAGGCTAAATGCTTTCTACATTATTTCATTTAACCTCAGACTCACGGTAACTCTATGAGCTAGTTATTACTGACCCACTTTGCAGATAAGGAAACCAAGGCTCAGGAGAGTTTAAGTAAGTTTTCCAGGATTCATTTATTCAACATGTATTTATTGTCTACTCTGAGCTACTGGAAACCCAGTAGTAAACAAAATGGAAGAACCCCTGCCTTCATGTAACTTATATTCTAATGGAAGGTATCATAGCCAACATTTCTTAAGACCCAGACAATATTGATACGTATTAGCTCTTAGGTAGGTGATGTTGGATTTGAACTCAAGCATTCTAACTCCAGAGCCAGTGCTCCTCTTTCTCTAATTCTCACTGTACTGCCTCACCCAGCAGCCCACTCAGCCATAGGAGGTGAAACCTGGGGTCCCAGCCAGACCTGCCTGGCTCTATGGTCTTGGCCACCACCGTTTTATAGAGAAACAAATGGACCAGCTTTCTTTACTTCTCTGTCCTGCTCCATTCATTACATGACCTGGAACAGTCATGGACTTAGACTTTCTAAAATCGAGTCAGTTCATTGTTAAGACAAATGCTTATGTTTTGAAGGTTAACATCACTCCAGGAGGTGTAAAAAGCCCTAACTCTCGTTTCCTTTATGTCCTGAAGCTGTGGTATTTGACCATGCCGCTATGTTTGGAGCTATGTTCAAGTATCTTCCATACTTCTCATCAAAACCATGGTATCTTGCTTTGTCCAATAAATAAGATCATTTTCTAGCAGTTTCTGTGTAATACAATGAGTTGAGCCAGTATTTTTTTTTTTTTTCATCAAATTCCAATGTGTTCCTGTTAGGGCCTTGTGTTCAGCAGTTTGAGGGCCTCTACCAAATGACTATGGGCTGTGTCTGATATTGTAAAAATATAAGATTTAGGAATAAGGGTTAGACTGGATTTTTACTCAAGGATCCTTTCTACTCTGTTTACTTTTATTTCTTTTTTTTTTTTTTTTTTTTTGAGACAGAGTCTCACTCTGTCACCAGGCTGGAGTGCAGTGGCACAATCTCAGCTCACTGCAGCCTCTACCTCCCAGGTTCAAGTGATTCTCCTGCCTCGGCCTCCCGAGTAGCTGGGACTACAGGCATGTGCCACCACCCCAGCAAAATTTTGTATTTTTAGTAGAGATAGGGTTTCACCATGTTGGCCAGGATGGTCTCAATCTCTGACCTCGTGATCTGCCCACCTCGGCCTCCCAAAGTGCTGCGATTACAGGCGTGAGCCACTGCACCTGGCCATACTTTTCAAATATAATCATCTACTTATGAGAAAGCACCTAGCAGTAAAATGACACTTCTTGAACTTTACCACATCTCCACATTGGTTTTATTACCCATGGTGCTCCTCTAGAGGCCCGGTAGTTTCACATGTGAGTGTTCAGGTGTCAGGGGCAGAGGGAATCCTACTCCTCTCTTGCACTGGTTCTGTAATACACAGCACCTTGCCAAGAATAAGAGAGTACCCGAGTGGAAAGACCACTGAGCCTTCTCTCTCCTATGCTGTCATTCTGCCTTCTGCCTGCAACTATGTAAAGCTACTGAAACCCCTTCTAACCCAGCCCAGTCACCCCTCTGTCACTCAGCAAGCATCTCCCCAGTAGCTACTCTATGCCAAGCTCTTTTACCATGCCCACATGCACTGGCCCTTTCTGGCAGAAAGGAAAGCAGCAGACAGATGAGTTAGGTTTGTAATTGATAAGTCCACAGAGTTAGCAAGACTTTTCTTAACTGGACTTTTAAAATGAGTCCAGTTAAGTGGATATAACACTCTTTAGGGTAAGAGATCTATCACTTCCAAAACCAGGAATGTAGAGGCTGGAATCAGGCATTCCTTATGGTCAATGGGGCTGCCTCCTGCTCGGATTTAAACTCTTCTCGTAGCCCCTGCGAATTAGGCAATAGAATGATTCATTCCGTTTGCAATTGTTTGTTAACCATTGCTATGAACACGAGGACTGGGTGCAGCCCTGTGGATACACAGTAAGCACATCAGCCACGGTTGCTACCTTCTTGGAGCTCACCAAACAGACACTTAAGCAGCTGCCCCAAAGCATGATAAAAGCTATGGTAGTAAAGTACAGACTGCTTGGAAAGACCCATTTCAGGACATCCAACCTAGTATAGTTGGTTAAGGAAGGCACCTGACATAGCTGGGCTGGGGAAGGGTATAAGAGAAGACTTCCTAGAGTAAGTGAAATCTAAGATCTGACCTGAAAAATAAGCAGCTATTACCCAGGGGAAGAGGAGAGGGAGCGGGAGGATGTTCCAAGAAAACAAAACAACATGGACAATGCCCTAGAGGCGGAAGGAAGCTTAGCACCTTAAAGGTGATAGAATTCTAGGCTCTGAAGAGAAACCAGAATATCAGCACCTTTAAGGAACTAAAAGAGTTTCAAGAGAGTTTATGGAAAACGTAGGATAAGGGAGAAGAGGGGAGGAGATGCTGAAGAGAGAGGCAAAAGAGTGAGCCTGGAAAGATGAGCAGGAGCCAGGTGGTTTTGGCAAGAGTCAGTTTGGACTTTAACCTAAAGACGGTGGAAGTCGTTGCAGAGTTATACACGAGAAAGGGAGTTTTTTTTTTGTTTTTTTTTTGTTTTTTTTTGGAAAATGTGGCATTATAAGGAGTAGATTAAGGGAACACAAAACAGTAAAAAAAATAGACAAAAGAGCAAATGAATGGAGGCAAAGCATAAAAGACCAGTTAGAAGATGGCGGCAACAATCTAGTAAGAGATAATGGTATCCTGGCCAAGGATAGTAACAGTAACGGAGGAAGGAGATGAGGGGGCACATTAGAGTTATATTTTGGAGGTGGAATCCATAGGACTTGGTGATTGTTGATGTGGGAGGTTTCAAGAAAAATGCTCAAGTGTCTGACTTGGATAAATGGATAGATACTGAGATAGGGAACACTGATGAGGATCTTGTTTGGGTAACAAAGGATAATAAGCTCAGTGTTGAGACCTGTTGAGTTTTAGATGTCCATGAAATATCCAGTAGGAGAATATTGGATTTAGCGGAGCTGAGCACTAAATCCAGTGAGCCTGCTTCAGCTGTCTTCTCTAGGCTGACGACCCCAAAACAATGTACCCAGTCCAGCTATGTGAGCCTGGGAAGATGAGCATTTTTCGGGGCTGTCAGCCTAGAGAAGATATTTGAAGCTGTTGTAATCGATGAAGTTGTCTAAGCAAGAACGCAGAGTGAGCAGCAGGAGAAAGAAAGCTTAAGACAAAACACTGAAGAATCCCATCCTTTAGGAGAAAGAAAGACTGCATAAGAGATTGAGAAAGAGCTGGTGGAGAAAGGAGGAAATTGAGAAGAGTATGATGTTGTGGAAATCGATGGAAACGTGCTTTTAGAAAAGAGTGAGCCACTGTATCAAAAGGTGTTGAAAGGTGAGGTCACATAAGAACTTAAAGGAAGTTTGAGATTGCATTAAACATTAATTTTCAATTCTATGCTATTTAGTACATGTGTTAAATTCCATATTCTTAGAAGTTTTTATTTTAGCATTTTTTAAAATGTTGATTTAATTCCTTGATGTTTTCATTTAAGGTGTGGCAAGAATTTAGGATAGGTATTAACGTATTTTTCAAGTATGTTACATTTTGGTCCAAGTCTCATGTCTAGCATTCATGGTGGCTCACACCTGTAATCCCAGCACTTAGGAAGGCTGAGGCAGGCTGATCACTTGAGGCCAGGAGTACCAGACCAGCCTGGCCAACAGGGTGAAACCCCATCTCTACTAAAAATACAAAAATTAGCCAGGCATGGTGGCCTGTGCCTGTAATCCTAGCTACTGTGGAGGCTGAGGCAAGAGAATCATTTGAACCTGGGATGTGAAGGTCTCAGTGAACCAAGATAGCACCTCTGCACTCCAGCCTGGGCAACACAGCAAGACTCCGTCTCAAAAACAAAAAAGGAAAGAAAATAATAACAGATTGTTCTTCCTTGCTGAGAGGAGTATTGCCCTTATTAACTATCTCTTTTCTTTTGTTTCCCACCCTTCAATCTTTTGTTTGTTTTCTATCTCTTAGCCCTGTGAGCTCTGCTTTTAGATAAAACCTTTTCCCATACAATTTGAATTGCAGTGTTGCCTGATTTTGAAATTATAAGTATGACTTATTTCCTTTGTGTCGTAAACCACTTAAAAGTTAGTTCATAGCAATGCACATCACAATCCTTAAAGAGTAAAATATGACTTTTAGTCATCCTCTTTCCTGTTTCTTTTCCAGCTACAAGAGACTGTGAAAAGGAAGTTGGAAGGAGCTCGATCACCACTTAATGGAGACCAGCAGAATGGTGCTTGTGATGGGAATTTTTCTCCAACTAGCAAACGAATTCGAAAGGACATTTCTGCGGGGATGGAAGCCATCAACAATTTGCCCAATAACATGCCACTGCCTTCAGCTTCTCCTCTTCACCAACTTGACCTGAAGCCTTCTTTGCCCTTGCAGAACAGTGGAACTCACACTCCTGGGCTTCTAGAAGATCTAAGGAAGAATGGTAGGCTCCCTGAGATTAAACTTCCTGTCAACGGTTGCAGTGACCTGGAGGATAGCTTCACCATCTTGCAGAGCAAAGACCTCAAACAAGAACCTCTCGATGACCCTACTTGCATAGACACATCAGAAACATCTCTTTCAAATCAGAACAAGCTGTTCTCAGACATTAATCTGAATGATCAGGAGTGGCAAGAATTAATAGATGAATTAGCCAACACGGTTCCTGAGGATGACATACAGGACCTGTTCAACGAAGATTTTGAAGAGAAGAAGGAGCCAGAATTCTCGCAGCCAGCAACCGAGACCCCTCTCTCCCAGGAGAGTGCAAGCGTGAAGAGCGACCCCTCTCACTCTCCCTTCGCACATGTCTCCATGGGATCTCCCCAGGCGAGGCCTTCTTCTTCTGGTCCTCCCTTTTCTACTGTCTCCACGGCCACTAGTTTACCTTCTGTTGCCAGCACTCCTGCAGCTCCAAACCCTGCAAGCTCACCAGCAAACTGTGCTGTCCAGTCCCCTCAAACTCCAAACCAAGCCCACACTCCAGGCCAAGCTCCACCTCGGCCTGGAAATGGTTATCTCCTGAATCCAGCAGCAGTGACAGTGGCCGGTTCAGCATCAGGGCCTGTGGCTGTGCCCAGCTCTGACATGTCTCCAGCAGAACAGCTCAAACAGATGGCTGCACAGCAGCAACAAAGGGCCAAACTCATGCAACAGAAGCAGCAACAGCAGCAACAGCAGCAGCAGCAGCAGCAGCAACAGCAGCAGCAGCAGCAGCAACACTCAAATCAGACTTCAAATTGGTCTCCCTTAGGACCTCCCTCTAGTCCATATGGAGCAGCTTTTACTGCAGAAAAACCAAATAGCCCAATGATGTACCCCCAAGCCTTTAACAACCAAAACCCTATAGTGCCTCCAATGGCAAACAACCTGCAGAAGACAACAATGAATAACTACCTCCCTCAGAATCACATGAATATGATCAATCAGCAGCCAAATAACTTGGGTACAAACTCCTTAAGCAAACAGCACAATATTCTTACTTATGGCAACACTAAACCCCTGACCCATTTCAATGCAGACCTGAGTCAGAGGATGACACCACCAATGGCCAACCCCAACAAAAACCCCTTGATGCCATACATCCAGCAACAGCAACAGCAGCAGCAACAGCAACAGCAGCAGCAGCAGCAGCAGCAGCAGCCACCACCTCCACAGCTCCAGGCCCCCAGGGCACACCTGAGCGAAGACCAGAAACGCATGCTTCTCATGAAGCAGAAAGGAGTGATGAATCAGCCCATGGCTTACGCTGCACTTCCATCCCACGGTCAGGTAAGTGTAAAAGTGAGACACTTTGAGTGGTGCGTTTCAGACTGTTAATGTGTGATGCTCTACGAGCTTCCACTGTAGTTGGGTCTAATTGCCTGCAGAAAGCCTCTCTATACATCCTCAGATAGTGGCCAGTTTTGGAGGGTTCTTTTTCAATTTCTCCTAAGAGATGGAAAAGGGTGGCACGATAAACTTTCTTATATTTCAATGTCTAGGAATCAAACTTCTTTTATTCCCAACTGCAGATAAGAATTACATAAAATTCTCACTCTGAGGGAGGGAGGCTGCAGAGGTCACTCCACCAAACATGGCACTACCTCTGTAGCTTCTCTCCCAGCTCGCATGATCCTAGGCTCTGGGTGGTGGGAAGCGGGGGACATTCAGGGCTATCTACAACCGTTTTATAAGACCCTGAGCAGCCTTCAGCTGTCTTACTGAATTATGAATAATGGGAGATTTGGCTTGTTGATGTTCAAATATAGGAGAGCTTTCTGGATTTTCAAAGTGAAGTGGAGAGTAGATTTTTGTAGGACCTCATAATGTTTAAACACTTGCTGCTAGACCAGCAACAGTTGGAAGCTGGTTTGATCTTCTTACTTGGGAGTGCAATGAAACCTCTCTGATTCATTCAGCTCTATTTCCGGAAAATGTGATGGTGAATATATCTTAGTGCTGTGTTAAAATAAAGTCTCCACTTTCTCACTGTCCTTCTTCATGGGAGGTTGGGCTCTCGGTGTGCATGGTAAAAAATGAGCAGCAACCAGTGGGGAAGTGAATAGTCACTGACAAGCATTTCACTCTCTTCATCCTGACCAGTGGCAAACAGCCACAGCTCCTTTAGTATAACATTTTTTTCTACCCTGAAGGAGAGAGTGGGGAAATGCCCATTAGAGCGACTCCCCCTGCCCCACATGGATGAATTCAAGAGAGATTATCTTACTGCCAGTTGCTGTGCTGTGCCTCAATTCTTCCAGGATGCAGACACAGTCATTTTACTTGGAGAATTTGCAGAAAAGTCTTTGCTTTAGAGGCCCTCATGTCTAAACGGGTTCTAACTAGTGCTTGGATAGGTGTCCACAATTGAGTACTTTAGAAGCAGTGGGAAATAACACAGGCAGATCTTGCCTCACTTGGTTATTTGCATCTTGTAGCTCCTGGAGTGCCCCACCCCACCCCTGAAACTCCAAGCTTGATGGAGCTGCAGGTCTGGAGGTGGTGCTGGCCTGCAGAGACAGGCCTGAGCTCTGTGGCTTCATTCTTGTCCTCAGCCTTACAACCCCCAAACCTCACAGTGGCTTGTTGTCTGCACATGCCAGCCAGCTCTAAAGATTCCGTCTGGATAAATAAAAGTATAACTTGGTTTACATTGACTGCAATCAGTAGCTGGTAGAAAAATATCATTGAAATGTGAGCTTTTATGTATTATCTTAGTTTCATTAAGAATATATACCATTGGGGAAATACAGCATTTTATACACTTCCAGATTAAGTTCTGAAGTAGGCAGAAATACAGGCAGTATACATGGATGTTTGTGGTAGCCCAGGTGTGTCAGAAGGTTTATGAGATCACAAGCTGTTAGAATGGTCGGTCTGTTGTTAATACAAATTGTGCTTCTACATTCGCTGTTTTTACACTACCTACAGTAGAGTATTTCCTTCAAGCCAGACCAAAGATGAATAATTAATCCCAGTTCACAGGCTCTGCAGACATGTGAGTGCAGTGATGCACCCACCCTCACCCCCACTAAATGTCTTTCGAAATGTGCCAACTTGGGACAAAGTTCCTGTCTTTGTGGGAACATGGATTTTAAGGGTACTTCTTTCAGGTCCTTATGCCTGACGAGCTGTGAGTCACTGAAGCTGGTAGCTGCAGAGGTCATGTTTTGAAAGAGCTCAGTCAGCTGAAGAAGCAAAGTGATGTTTTTCTGGATTAAATCTGTGTGCTCCTCTTCTCTTCTCTCGTCTCTCAAAGTATTTTCAGTGTGGACAGAATATTCCTTTGTGAGTCCTCATTAGAATAATCACTTCTTAACCTCATAAAAACTCATCAGGTAAAAGCGTGCTTTTTAATGAAATATTAACTCACCACTGTTTGAAACAAGCTTCAAAATACATGTATAAACATGTGAATATCTTTCTGCAAACATATCATTTATTTCATGTTTTTATCTGATTGTGAAGCAGTATTTACATAGTTCTCAGAATAGTTCATTACATTATATGCGGGTACATTCCACAAATATGAGCACGAATTGCAGGTGCGATATAAAATATAATTATACATAGGTTTAGTTCAGTTTCGTTTTCTGCTGTTGCTGGTGAAAACTCACTTTATTCTTTGTTGATCACAATGACCATGATCAACATTTCGTTTTAATGAATGACTTGAGCAGCAAAGCCTTTTAGGCACATTTATTTCAAGAAAATTGTCTTCTACAGATGTTTACTTATTTGGAACATTTGTATAAAATTCCATCTCTCTCAGAAATGAATAGAAATGTGCTTACTTCCTGTATATTTCAAAAAAGAGGGAAACAAAAATAGAAACAAAAGATATTTCAAAATTTTGAATGTGTCTTATCTAGTAATTCCATTTCTCAGAATTTACGTGTTATTCTTCTTGGTCAGATGGTTGAAGAAAGTTTATGCTCATGGTGTTATTTATGATAGTGAAAAACTTGATTTAAAAATAAGTATTTTGGAAAAATAAATATGTACATGACATTCATGATATAAATAAATGACTAATCATATGGAAATGCCTTATAATATGAATAAAATAGACCGTAAAACAATTTATATGTTACAATCCAAATTGTGACTTTTGGTATGTGTAGAAAAATACTGAATAACTGAAATGTTATTTTAGGAATTCTAAATACTGAATTCCTAAAATGTTAGGAATGATATTTATTTCTGGCTGGAAAAATTATGAGTGATTATTGTTTTCCTCTTTATATTTAACTGAATTTTGTAAACTTTCTATCGTACATGTACGTTAATTCTACCCTCTGCGAAAATACTTTTTTAAGGAAGGGAAACTCCCTGTTTAAAAGAGTTTACCCTTCATTAATTCTTTTTTTTTTATTCTTAGTTGAATTGATTTGCCAGTTGGATTGAGGCAATATCATTATTTGTTATTCATTGATATATATTAGTTGTGAATCCCTGCTTTAGTGAGTAGTCCTAAAACCTGCCTCCCACACTCAGTCTCTTTTCCATTCTGTCTCCTCATCCCTTTACCATGTTCTCATTCCTAGAAAATTTTAGCTAAATTAGTGACAGTGAAAGTAGCAATAACATTTTTACCATTAAAAGTTTTTGAATCTTCTCAGAGATATGTTCTTATATTATTTCTGTATTCCCTTTACTTTTTTTTTTCTTTTTTTTTGAGACAGAGTCTCGCTCTGTCACCCAGGCTGGAGTGCAGTGGTACATCTCAGCTCACTACAAGCTCCGCCTCCCAGGTTCACGCCATTATCCTGCTTCAGCCTCCCAAGTAGCCGGGACTACAGGAACCCGCCATCACGCCCGGCTTTTTTTTTTTTTTTTTTTTTTTTTTTTTGTATTTTTAGTAGAGTCGGGGTTTCACCGTGTTAGCCAGGATGGTCTCGATCTCCTGACCTTGTGATCCACCCGCCTCAGCCTCCCAAAGTGCTGGGATTACAGGCGTGAGCCACTGCACCCAGCCTACTTTTTTTTTTTTTTTTAAACGTTCTGGAACTTCTATTCATCATGGACTAAACTCCCAGATTGGCTCTAATTTTCTTCTTACCAGCTTCACTTTTTAAAAATTAATACATAATATTTATACATATTTATGGGGTACATGTGATATTTTGTTACAGGCATAGAATATGTAATGATCAAGTCAGGGTATTTAGGGCATCTATCACTGTATTTATTCTTTCTTTCTTTTTTTCTTGAGACAGGGTCTCACTTTGTTGCCCAGACTGGAGTGTAGTGGCACTGTCATAGCTCACTGCAGCTTTGAATTCCTGGGTTCAAGCCATCCTCCCACCTCATACCCCAAGCAGCTGGGACCAGAGGCGGTGGCCACCCTAACTGGCTAATTTTTTTTTTTTTTTTTTAGTTTTCAGTAGAGACAAGGTCTCACTACATTGCCCAGTCTAGTGTCCAACCCCTGAACTGAAGTGATCTTCCTGCCTTGGCTTCCCATAGTACTGGGATTACAGGTGTGAGCCACCGTGCCCGGCCTGAGGATTTATTATTTCTATGTGATGAGAACATTTCAAGTTCTCACTTCTAGCTGTTTGAAATATACACTACATGTTCTCCAATTTTTAAAATATGTGTTTTTGTTATGAAATAGAACTTAACTTTGGTCACATCTGGTTTTTTTCCTTCCTAATCCTGTTATTTCTCAAGGGCCAGGATCTCTCTCTCTCCTCTCTTACACACACACTTTAGCTGATTTTTGCATAGTGCCTAGCACTGTGTCTTAAACATAAGGATGTTCAATAAATCATTTGATGGTGATTATCAAAGTTTGGGTCAAAAATATGATTACAGTTGATTATCAGCTCCAATGGAGAAAGCATTAGCTCACATAACGCAGAGCTGCTTTTGAGATCAAATAGAAGAGCTGAAAAGGCAAGTCTAGAAAGAATCCTTTGATAGGAGGTGATTATCTTGAACCAGCAGAACAACAGTGAGATTGCTGGGAAGGCAACCACAATCCCTGTGTCTGACAAACAAAAAACAATGGAGCAACTATGAAAGAAGTAAACCAAAAGCAGAGACCACTTGCTGGTCAAGGACGCTCACAGGCCAGCCCAGAGCCCAAGAACAATTCCTGTGGGGAAGAGCAGAAAGGGAATCATGTCCAAAATGTGATGTTCATTTTTCATACTTGCAGTCTTAGGAGTAGATACGTCATAGGTAACTCTGCTACTTTATTCTTTACACATGTGTCTTCTACATGTGGCTGTGTGCATCATAATGAGTACACATGCTCATATTTTACAGAATGTTTTTCCCTT